CTCTTCGCCAGCAATGGTGCATGCTCTAAATCATCACCGGAGACAGTCGTCTACGGCTGGTTCAGACGGCCCAAGACCCGTCTCTCCTCGTTTGATTCCCACCACTCAGCCACAGCCACGCGCAGTTCCACCGTCAATAAAGGATTTCGAGATTATCAAACCCATCAGCAAAGGCGCCTTCGGAAGCGTTTACCTAGCCAAGAAGAAGTCCACTGGAGAATACTACGCTATCAAAGTCTTGAAGAAGGCCGACATGGTAGCCAAGAATCAGGTCACCAACGTGAAGGCTGAGCGAGCTATCATGATGTGGCAAGGCGAAAGTGATTTCGTTGCCAAGCTGTATTGGACCTTTTCTAGCAAGGACTATCTCTATCTCGTCATGGAATACTTGAACGGTGGCGATTGTGCCTCGCTCATCAAGGTCCTGGGTGCTTTACCAGAAGACTGGGCGAAGAAGTATCTCGCTGAGGTGGTACTTGGTGTCGAACATTTGCACAGTCGGAGCATTGTCCACCGCGATCTCAAACCGGACAACCTGCTCATCGATGGAAAGGGTCATCTAAAACTGACTGATTTCGGTTTATCGCGGATGGGTATGATTGGCCGACAGAAACGTGCACTCAAGTCTGTCGAGCCTGCGCCGGACCTGCTCAAGACCGGCCCATTCCATCGCGCTACGTCTGTAGGCTCTTCACGATCTGCATCCTTCGACTTGAACCACTCGCCTTCACAGACGCCATCCATGACACCTGCTCTCGCTGGAGACATCGGTCAACCGTCGTACTTTAGCCTTAATCGGGACGGTTCCCAACAAAGCCGTGAGCCTTCAAGGCGCACTTCGGGCACTCGGAGCGACAGCCAAGACAGTGATGCGCTACAAGCCATGTTCCGTCGCTTCAGTATAGCTGACGATTCCTTTGGTCAGCCTCGTGGACGGTCACCGATAGAAGAGGAGGCCTACAGCGACGATGGTTCTCCCGACCTCTACCCCGCCACACATTCTCTGAGTCACTCTGCAGTAGCTCAAAATAGTGCGTTGGCGCCTTCGTCGTCAGCAATGCCACCGCCACCTATGGCTCTGTTCGACCCAGAAGATAGCGACCGCAAATTCGTCGGGACACCGGACTATCTTGCCCCTGAAACTATCGCTGGTAATGGCCAGGATGAAGTCAGCGATTGGTGGTCTTTAGGCTGCATCCTCTTCGAATCTTTGTACGGATACCCTCCATTCCACGCTGATACGCCCGATGAGGTGTTCCAAAACATTCTCGCGCGTAGAATCGATTGGCCAGAGGATGATGATGAGCTATACGATATATCAGACGATGCGAAGGATCTGATGAATCGGTTGATGTGCTCTGATCCTGCACACCGTCTTGGAGCGAACAAGGACGACAAATACGCTAGTGGTGGAGAGGAAATTCGCAGCCATCCGTGGTTTGCGGATGTCAACTGGGAGACCTTGCGGGATGACGAAGCATCCTTCATTCCTGCTCCTGAAAACCCAGAGGACACGGAATATTTCGACACTAGAGGAGCCGCCATGGCAAACTTCAGTCCTGAGTTTGAAGACCAAGCTACTACACCAGCAGGAACCCCAAGTACCGATTATCCTGACCGACCACACGATGCGTTGTCTAGAGTACGCTCTCAGGTGACTGTCTCAACTATGAAGCGAGGACTGATCCCTCTCCATATCCCAGCTCATGTGCGGGAAGGCCGGTCTAGGAGACTCAGTGAACCAATGGCAACTGACGACTTTGGTAATTTCAGTTACAAGAACCTGCCTGTTCTGGAGAAGGCAAACAAGGACGTCATCCAGAAGTTGCGTGCAGAAGCTATGCTTCCACAAAACAAGCCCGCACCGCCTCTGCAGTCGCCCAGTGTCACGTCGCCATCGCCATCGCTGGAGAACAGCCCGATGCTACCCGGCCCGCTCAAACGTACGCTATCCTCCAACAGAGCCACCGGACGGCCCTCTTCTCCCTCGATGAGCGGGCCACATTCTTCGCCAAGTCGTGGTTCACAGCCCTCATCTCCTCTGCTCGTACAGTTCAGCACGGGACAACATGACCGACGCAAGACGTCTAGTAGCTCGTCTACGTTGTCGCATTCGACCAGCAACCCATCCTCGCTACAACCTGGAAGCTTCTTCGATCCTTCCCGTGTGTCAGGCTTGCGACCATCGCCAGAAGCTGTCTCACCAAACAGGCTTTCAAAGACACCGTCGGCACCTCCCGTGGCTTCTCAAGAGAAGCCCGTCACTGGACAACGCCAGTCATCGGCACAAACCAATGCTTCTTCACCACGTGCTCGGTCCCAAACGCTTGGGTCTCAAGAGGACGATGTTGTGCGCGATCTCTTACCTGGGCACTACAAGCGCCGGAGTCAAGTGCTTGATGTATCTCCATCGTCGTCGGACACGGAAGACTCTCGTGCGAAAGCGCTGCTTCGTGTCCAGCGACGACGTCAGAGTTCTCGAAGACTCTCGCAGATCAGCTTTGGCGACGGTCCTTTCTTCCGGCCATTAGACGTGTTGATTTGCGAGGACCACCCAGTGTCACGGCTTGTCATGGAGAAACTACTCGAGAAGTTGCGCTGCCGCACTTTGACTGTTACCAATGGCTCAGAAGCTATACGATATGCGATGGGCGAGGTCAAATTTGATGTGATCATGATGGAGTTCCGCCTTCCTCAGGTCAATGGTGCAGATGTCGCTCGCATGATCCGAGACACCAAGAACGCCAATACGCACACTCCGATTGTCGCTGTTACTGGATACCTGAAGGAGCTGCAGGCGCCTCACTATTTCGATGCACTTATCGAAAAGCCTCCTACTGTGGCGAAGCTTACGGACACATTGAGCAGACTGTGCCAATGGAAAGCACCCCCGCCAGGCTGGACGCCGAACCAGTTGTATCCATCGATGATGCCCTCTGGGCTTCGACAAGAGTCTTCGCGCCAGGAGGACAGCCCCACGACCTCGAATTCTTCAGGATACCCGCCCGTCCCTTCTGCCAGTTACCGAGGTTCGAGCCGCGAAGACTCTATTAGTTCTAGCTTCTTCGGTGACAACGACAGTCGTGCAGGCGAGGATATGCCAGTTAGAATCCACAACGCTGACGATTGGCGGGAGCGCGACATCGCACGAGCTATGAGTGGCTTAGGAATTTGCGACGATGCAGCTAATGCCGATGCGAAAGCAGCTGTCCCCAATCGTGTTGGTGCACCTGACCTGCCCCACGGGGACTCCGCGCCAGCCGTTCTCGAGGAGGCAACGATCCGCCGCCAGAGATCGACAGAGCAAGTCGGCGCCAAACGTCGCATTCTGGAGACCCGCAAACACGAGTCGGCAGAGTCTGGGGACGATGAAGACGACGAGCTGGGTCATGCTCCAGTGCGCACTCGGAGTCCAAGGTCAAGACCAAAGTCTACGTCGAAACTTGGAATTGAGATGATGCGAACGAACAGCAGAGGCAGCGTCATCTCTGTCGAAGACCCTGGGCAGCCAGATTCAACCCTACCTTCTTCTCCGCCTCCAATGATCACAGAGGAGCGTGCGGCAGAGGAATATGAGGGTAGCCTTGACGTACCTGCAGTCGCGCCTACGTCGCTCACACCGCCAGTCCTCTTTCCCGAAGAACCCGGCGATGATGTGACTGACTTTGTCATCGAAACTCCCAAGGCGCAGAAGGACGCGATTAGTCCGGATCCGGATCCCACGCCCAAAGCAAAGCCTGCCACGACACCCGACCCAGACCCAACCCTCCGAGCGAACAGTCCAGTGGACCCCTAGGCAGCATCGTGGCAGCTGTTCCGCACATATTCATTAAATTGCGCACTTGATATTACATTTTAAGCACGTCTTTCGCAGCATGGCGTTGGCGGTGTTCCTACCGGGAGGTGCGCCAATGACAGCGAGTTTAGGAAGCACTCGACATAGTTCCTTTGTCTCTTCGCGCTGTCCAACTTGCGTTGCTTCGCGACTGCGTGTCGTTTTGAGAGCCCTTATTTTCCAAGCAATGTCCATATAGTCAACATCTTCTTCTCTTTACCACAGCTTGGACGTTTTTTGAGTTCGTATCATGTGCCTTGGGAGGAGGCACTTTTGTCATTCCTTTATTGAAGTTGTTACCCAGTCCACACACGAAGTGCTCGTTGGATTCAGACTGTCGCTCGCTTCTTCTTTGGCTGCTGCCTGTATCAGGTGTACTATTATCGTATTGAAGTTTGCGAAACTTTTGTACTTCCGGGTTTGAGAATCACCGATATAACAGCCGTAAATAGCTGAATGGAGATCACCTTGTACACAAGATCATTTACTGAAGTCTTCTCGCTCACCGGAAACATGCCTATCTCGGCGCTGCGACCATGCCCGAAACGAAGTAAGCCGGCTCTCTCTTGAGATTGTAAACACTATTCGCTGAAGCAGGCCGCAGTTTCACCCAGACCCATGGAGGATGATGGCACATAGATTCGCTGGGGTTCCTGCACACACCGATCTCGATTTGCACAACTGAGAAACCGTCTACAGCCTCGCTACAGGTACTACCAGCTAGTGCGGTCGGCCCATGCTCGAGGGGTTCGCGGGATATTACGGATCATCTCTACTTACTCCCGCGCTGCACTCTTTTTGAAAAATTGTCTGGTGCAGGCAACCTCAGAGAGAAGTTACGACTCCCTACCTTGATGAAGAGTTCGAGTAGAGCCAAATCGCAGATAGTCGCGCATGTGGATGATGCGATGAGCCAATGGCAGAGCACAGACGGCAGGAATGGCACGAGCACGTATCGCTGGGCACGACATAGGTACGAACCGTCGCTTTTCGTATGAGGACATGCGCCCCTCGACCAGCGATTGCGCGCAGGCGATCGATTCGAATACCCGTACGGCTTCAATACCTCGTTAACTATCGACTATTGCATACTACAAAGGAAACATAGACAGCCCATGTTACAAGCTCGCGACGGAGCAATTGGCTAGAGAACGGAGCTTTGCGATTAGAACGTCGTTTGCGGATCAATCCTCCACTCGTAGCAGTCGTTATTCAGAAACCCACCCTGCTTCCCGTTCACACCCCCACATTGACAGCTGTTGACAGGAACCTCCAGATATTTGTGGCACAAGTCGTAGTCATACTTGAACTGGCAGCCTGGGTCGACGCTGAGCGATATGAGGATTTGGACACCGGTTCCCGTGCTGTGGTAGAATGTGTAAGTTAACGACTTGAAGTAATTTTCCTTGAAGACGTCACCCGAGCTACCTATCGCAATGCAAAAGTCGTGGATGGCGCTGTCCATGCGCGTATGCTCCGTCTTCTGATCCAGGCCACCGTAACAGTCGACTTCATTCTGCATTGGATCGCCTTCGCGCGGAGACGCCGTAGGCTCCGGCGGGTCTTCACTTGTTGTCGTTTTCGTCGACGTCCTGGAAGAGGTCGAACTAGACGAGGAACTGCTCGGTATTGGACATACGACCCAGCTGTCTTCCCAGTTTTCGCCGAAATCGCCGTTATCCCCATCCGAGTTGGTGTTGTTGTCGCCGAAGATCCATGGTTCGGTGAAGCAAACCCAGTCTATGAAGCCACACTCCTTGACCAACGGCTCCTCGATCTGACCAATGATAGGCTGAATTTGCCTCTTGGGCCAGCTACCCGTCGGTGGAGGCTGCGCATTGGGACCGATGGATTGAGGTGGCTTTGGAAAGGATATCTTAGGCCCTACTGTGGTAGAATCACCATCTGGACCGGCGTAGATCACCGAAGGCCAGTGGGGTGTGGTCGCGGTTTTGGGCCAAAAAGCCTCGAAGCCCTGGCGCTTCTGGTTGACGGCTTGTCCAGTCAGTGTCACTGGCTCAAACACCCACTCCGATATCGTCATGGGCGGTTTCGTGATGGTGCTCGTCCATTCGCCATCGCTGACGGTGATCAGTGGATAGTTCAGTGTGCTTGTAGCACGGGTCCACGGGGGAATCTTGACATTGCAAGGGGGTGAGCAAGTAAATGCTGGCTATTCCATGTCCCAGATTTTGGGGTCTACCCAGATGTACTCGTCGTACATGGAGCCATTGCTGCTGACATCCAACACAGATATCTGCGACCAGAAGGGGTGGGAATCGACATTGAGATTATCCTTGGCTAGTATGCCCTTGCCATCCATGACTGCCATATACTTGGCGCCGATGGTAACGAGGTGCTGAATCCTGACATTGGAGAAGTTCTTTTCAAGCAAAAGCAGGGCTTTCTGGCATAGTTGCTGGTCGATGCAGGTCTGCGCGTACGTCGAAAACCACGAGTATAGGCCCGCGCTTGCGATGAAGACATTCTGCGATTCTCGCATTATGATCGCCCACGACTCGTCACACCCACTGAACTCATCGCCAGCCGCACATTCGTATGTTGGGTCACCTGAAAAGACGCCAAGAGCGGACTTGAAGGGAGTGGGTGGAGATGGCGTGGGTTGATAGTATGGTGACTCTGTCTGGAGTAAACTCGCGAAGATGTTTTGGGCTCGGTGAAAGTTGAACTGATAAAATACAGCATGCTCGGATGCAACACCGTAAAGCCTAGTATTGATTAGCCCTGACTGCGACGACCGCGGGAGCGGAGATTGAGCTGAGCCTACCATGTCGGCTCGGTGCTTTCGGCCAAGAAGCCACGCGCAACATAGACCGAATTTTGTACCATGTTATTGGCACCGCTTTCGAGATCGGGATCACTGCAGGCGGGTTAGCCAAAGGCACTGGCCGAGGGAAAGCAGGTCGTCCTTACTCAATCATGTGATCTGCGACCCAGAACCACGCGTTTTCGAGATACGCGGAGCCAGACGACGTCAGGTGAAACATCAAGCTCGCGGCACTGCAGCCTTGATCAACACCACTGGTGACTGGTGGGCATTCCTTTGGCGTCAACTTGGTCCCGGTGGCGCCTCCAACACGTGCGTGGCAATCCCACAGCGCAGCCGATCCAGCGCTCGATGCTTTCAGATTCCACTCGACCAGGATGGCTCCAGCCGTTGCCCCGACTGTGGTGAAGAACAGGTCCTGCATCTCTACATCTCCTACTTGGCCGTTGGTACCGACCTTGAGCAGCACCTTGGGATGGAGCGCATCTTCGAAGTAAGACCCAGAAGCAACCAACTGAGACCATGTTTCGCCAACAATCTTGGAGCCACTGGGAACCGTCACTGTCGACGTGAGTATGTAAGAGCCAGCATCTACGAAAAGTATTCTTCCCAGACTCGCATACAGTGCAGCTTGGAACGCCGCCGTGTCGTCAGTGATACCGTCGCCTTTGGCTCCAAGGTCCTTAATGTGCACGAAGTCGCCCACTGAACGGTCTTCGTACTGAGGCTTGGGACGCTCAAAGTACGCCCCATCGTTATCGACAAGTGTTGAATGACGACGGAAACTTCCGACCTTCTCTCCTGTGGTGAACTTGCGGTCTTTCTTATCAGCCGAGCCTTTGTAGACTGGGCCCATGGCCCATTCGTCGATCTTGGATGAGGATCCGGCCAATATTGTCTTTCCTCCTGTATCGGCGACGGTAGTACCCACACCTGAAAGCTTGATATTTGCGAGGATGAGACCGGTACTGCCTGACCCGACCGTCGAAGTGGGAGGTGAAATCTGTACCACTGTCTTAACATTGTTGAAAGATGAGTCGAGGAAAGACGCTGAGCCAATGTTGCCCGCCGCTGCACCAGAAGTACTGTCGGGTACAAGTTTGAAACCTGTACCGACGTTGTTCATGGTAATGGACTTCCAGACCCAACCCCAATCCCAGATGAGATGAACACCGATCGTGCAGCCCTCGAACTCCAAGCGCTGCGCTGTGAACTGCTGGCTGCCACCCTATAGACCAATAGCTCCACCTTGGAAGGTTATATCTGATATCTGCCCACCGCTGCCATTCTCAGCATACATGCCATTCTGTGTCGGGCCGGCGATCAGGAGTACATTCTGGGTGCTCGTGGCCTGAGCAACCTGGTAATGCAAACAGGAGACCTTCTGTGAAGCACGGGTCTGTCTAACGTCGATAATCACATTGCGAATTTGCCGGTAGAAGTTTGCCGTGTTGATGTAGTACTGCTCATCTAGACCGTCCGCGCCAGTCCCTCCACCAGTGTACTCGTCTGTCGACAACACTCCCATACCGATGAACGACTTGGATGCCAGAATGGTCGGTCTATCGTTTGCATCTCCAATTACTTGCGTTCCAAATGGCATCTGAATGGTAGTCGAGATCAGGTACGTGCCTGGCGGTATATACACAATGGCATTCTTGAGGGTAGAGCCGTTGCAGCCCTTCCCGCAACGTTTGCCGTCTAGCATGGCGGCTTTGAACGCTTTGGTGTCGTCGGTAACACCGTTACCAACTGCACCATAGTCGAGCACATTCCGGAAAACTGCGTATGTCGCGTTGTCGCCCCATGGTACCGTACCCTTCCTGTCGATACTGCCCATCCAGTAGGTGCCCTTGGCAGCCACAGTGCGCTTAGTTAAATTTCCGGGTATGCCAGCTGCATCAGCTTCAGCGACTAGAGCTGCAGCATCCGCGATGCTGTCGGTGATGTTTAGGAGGGGTGGTACTGGTGTGCCGTCTTCTCTTGCACGTAGACGACGCTTGACCTTCGATTGCCCGATGAAAGTGCCAGGCTTCAGCCCATAGTTGTTTCGCATAGGGCTCAACAACCGAGCTTGGTTGAGCTTGGAAGACTCCGCGATAGCGTTCTCAACGATGATTCGCGCTTTTGCCAGGTCGGACAGTGAGGCGTTGGTCAAGAGAGGAGTGACATCAGATCCGGACATGGTTCTAGTGTCAGATTCTCGTGCGATTATGGGGTACGATGGAGACACCTGTTCGTTGCGGGGCTCAGTTTGAACATTTGTAGACTCTTCACGAGATTCAAGACGTTCCATCGCACTCTCTTCATCGATATCGTAATGCTCGTCGAAGATGTCGTCATCGTTATCGTCCTCCTCATCCATCCAGCGAGTGGGGTTCATGTGAGACATTGGGATCGTCGTGCCGGTCAGATCAGCATCTGACCATGAGTCGTAACCGTCGGAGTCATTTGCTGGGACAATGTACTGGCTACCAAGACCGGCGTCAATCAGCTCTTGGATACGATCCATGTCCAGTACCTGTCTCGAGCCAAAAAAATTGCTTGAACTGTTTGCATAGTGTGTCTCGGGTGCATCTCGTCTTTGCTGGTTGACGACCCTCTCGTCAGAACGCACATTACCGGCTGGGTCGTCAAACGTCCAGACCCTTGCTGCGACGCCGTCCGCCGAATTGATGGCTCTGAAGTGGAAGAATGCTACGCTATCCTTGCTCTGATATGTGGGATGTAGACGGAAACCAGAATCCCGTCTCTGCTTTTCGATGATAGATTTGAGCTGACGCTGTAGCTTACCATGCGCATCGGCCTGCCAGTTCTGTTCGGCTTTACATCCTCGTGCACAACTCATGGCAGCACAGCGTGTCTGTGATGCTACGTTAGGATCGCTGCGATCCCCTCCGCCCTCTACCCATGTAGCTGGTGGAAATTCGTCGCACGTATACCGCATTTTGGAAAGTGTTGTGATCGCGCCCACGCGATGGTTCCTGATCTGATTGATAGAAGTGCCAGGCTCCAAATCTTTGTGCCACCACACACCGTCGTTTCGCATTACGTCTCGCTGGCTCGTCTCGGGGCAAGGATGAATGTTTTTCCAAGATCCAGGGCAGGATTGTGATCGACGCTGGTATGACCGGAATCTGGCTCTCTTGCCAGTGTTGAAGTCATAGCCGAAAATGCTGTTTGGCAAACGAGTTCGACGTGTACTAGAACTACCAGTTTGTGCTCGTGGTGAAATGCTGTACCAGTTCATGGCATTCTCGCAGATGTCCCTCAAATAGTTGCAGTTATATACTAGCACCACTTGTTTTGGCGAGACATCGATGACGCGCTGCTCGGCCGCATTCGGATTGGGACGGCTGCATAGTCTCTCGTTAGTCGCCGAGTTTCAAGCTCTCTAATGTCATCCCAAACTCACTAGAAGTATCCATCCACAAAGTTGTTGGTAATCGGATCGATCACCCGTCTGACATTGTAATCCTGGTCGAGCTGAGCGAGGGCCAGACGTTCCAGTAGCACACCTTGAAAGGCCAGAAGACACGTCAAGAAATACAATGAAGCCATTCTTGGGATGACAATGAGGAGCAGAGAGGTCTGTTCTCAGGGTGCAATGTCGTTTCCTGAGCGGTATATCCACCTTAGGTAATAAGGACAATACCGTGTAGCAACCAGAGAAGCTATCACGCAGGAGACTATACTGGGAGCGAATGAAATACATTTGACCCGTGGAAGCCGTCGTATGGCCCTACACCACCTTGATTTTCGACTTTGTGAGACTAGAGTTTAGCCAAAGTCCTTGCTCAACAGTGTACCAGACTCATAGACATCTGCCAGGTAGATTGGCAATATACCTTTCAATCGAAACCCAAGGTATCCCTACTCATTGCTTATGAGAATACTGTAAGTAGAGTGTCCGAAGCCCAAGCATTGATAGTTACTTGTACATCCAGACGAGCACACGCAGCCACCAAATTGTTGCGCAAATGAACTATATGTTACACGTCATTTGGATCAAAGCTTGTACCCCCATGTTTCTTAGACAGATGCAGCAAAGATTTGAATGCCAATAGACAAGGGCGAATGCATATTGCGCGTGCAAGAGTCAGGATAGAGCCATGCGTAGGACGTGGCTACGCGGCTTCACCACGTTACTGTGGGACCAAAACGTTCTAAAGCAAGCAGAGCGCCAAATGTTGCAGAATACGATGAAGACATAATTCATGCTGTTTGGTCCACCTTGAAGCGGACACAACGGTTAATGAAATTCTTCATGCTAACCCAAGTAGATCAAAGCTCTCCAGTGACAAGTCGAAGTAGAAGATGCTCTGCCTCAGGACGAAGATGAACGCAAGTTGACTACACTCGTTGACGGTGCAGAGCCGCATTGCCCAAATTGAGGTTGACTACGTGTTTATTGATGTCAGTTTCAGCTAACACGAATTTTGGGCAGGTCTTATGGAGTTCGGAAGGGAGACTCACCAGCCGGCACCGCAGTCAACCGGAAGTATCCCACATTGACCATTCTTATTGCAACAGCCCCCATAAACCACGTTGCAAGTGTATTTGTTTGGGCCTCCACAGCTACCATCCGGTGTAGTTCCAGTCTGCCATGGTAACGGAATAGTCGCAGTAGGGGATGCACGCGTACAGTTCCCCGACTGACAAGAATCAAAATCGCAAAAAGATGCGCCATCGCCGCACTTGCCGTCAAGGTTGCAACAATGTCCCCATTTTCCTGCGCAAAGCCGATCCCTGTGTGCAAAACCGCAGGTACCGTCGGTGCTGTATGTTTTGTCCCCCAAGCAGCCGCCCTCGTAACACGTGCCATCAGCGCAATCTTCCCTAGATGATTGTCAGGCTGAATTCGATTTTCCTACTTCTGTTTCTGCTAAGATTCTTACTCAGATGCGCCGCAAGTAAATGTATTGGCATTGCAGCACGGAAACTCGGTCCCAAGACAGGTTGCATTGTTGTGCTTTGGGCCGCAAAGACCATCCAAGGCCCTCACAGGCTCGATATCTAGCATCTTTCGTGTCAATTCTTGGCACCTTGATCTTGCTCGAAAGAGTATGTAATTGAAGACTTACAGCCATCGTAACAGTACCTCGATCTTGGCTGGATATCCGAGCAATCCGTCTTCAGCGTTGGGTTCAACCAGAAGAAATAGTCGGTCGTGATTTGATACTTGTCGCAGATTTCTGTGCAAGTATAATAGTTGACATGCTCGTGGGTTCTGGCCCAAGCTCGACAATTGAGTTCGCCAGGCTTCACTTCCAGAATCCTGATTCTGCCACCAGTGTTCCTCACAGGACTCGCGATTGGCGTCGACAGCGTAGCAGTCCCTGTCATCTCTGCAAAACGAGCAATCTTTGCATCGTTGGACCACGTAACGGGTCGGCAATCATCAGCGATCGAATCGGTTGGGAAGAATGCCAACGTGAAAAGAATGGTGAACACTGTATGCCTTCTGAAAGAAGACATTTCTGAGGACAGAAGGACGTGACTCTTTGGACTGAATGAGGTGGGAAGTTAGTGCTTGTTGAACGATGCGCTGAGCTACATGGACTGGTAGAAACATACTAGTAGGTGCACGCCCCTACAAACTCGTCTGCCTCAATATCGGGCAGTCGTCGGGACACTAGTGGCATGCGCACTGTGGATTCGGGTAAGCCTCTGTGGAGCTCGGTACTAAAACCGTTGAGCGATCGACAGACTGCTGCATTCAACATAGCCTGAAGTCTACCTCGTGTAACGCACGGCAGTGTTGCCTCTGCGTATCGCAATATAATCATGTTGTCGTGGGATTGTCTCCCACTGCCACCGAGCCACGATGCATTGCTATTAATTGTACTTATCAAATGATTATGGATAAAAAATGAAGAGTTTAACCTCAGGGAGGTCTCTGTGCTGCTGAATGGTTGTGGTAGCGGTTGGTGGCACAGTTAGGGTTGCATTCGGCAAGCGACGTGGTACCTAGGTAATTGACCGTGATTACGATCATGCTTGTTATCGACGTGCAGACACGAAATCACTAATATGGAGGCTATTTGCGTACATTAAGGCTATGTGCATGTATTTGAGGCTAATGTCATTTTTGCACTCATCTCGTGGGCTGAAACATCCGCTGCGAGGAACTTGTTTCTGTCCAAGCCAGTTCAGGAATTCCTCGAATATCGTGACATTCATAACATCACTGCAAACTCACTCTGCTGAACCGCCAGCGCAGTCATGCAGATACTCGGACTCCTCCTTATTTCTGTCTTTCCCGCTCTAGGGTCCAGCCTCAAATCTAGAAGCTCTCGAGATACCGTACCGAACTTGAGAGGGGGAACAAAAGCCACAATTCAAAAGAGAACTTGCGGCGAAACCAACGGCCGTGTCTGCTACGGGATTGGCGGTGGTGAGGCGCAAAACATCGACGAGGCCGACATCGCATACGCCGCGTCGTACTTGCGATTTCTGGCCGAAAACAGCAACAACCCACTATGGACAATGCCGCCCGAGTTTGACTGCTCGGAGTGGGGATTACCAATAGCCGACGCCGGGACTGTGCTTGTGCTCGCCAAACACACTAAACCACGCACCAACTCCTCGGTCACCTATTATGACCTTGCTCGCACTATCGACGGTGGTGCACAGGCGACATCCGCTCAAATGGCAGAGTCTTTGCTGGGAGCGTGCGGGTCTGGAGGCGGTATGATGGGAGTCACAGTTGATGACAAGGACCCGGCATACAGCACTTCTGCTTACAAGGCCTCAGGCGCAAAACATCAAGATATCATCGTCAAGATTGTGAGGGCTCCGGTAGCTTGATGTTAGACGATTGCAAGAATGGATTAGGTAGCAAGATGCAGACTGTAGCTACGCCAGCCTAGCACTTCAAAACACTGTCTCAACGGAAGCGTGTTGATTGCAGCTCTTACGTGATTCACCACACACTTGATCCTATCTTTTTCATTAAGCAAATCAAACGTACCTCGCTGGACACAATATTTTCCACTGCGCTCTCCATGTTCACCCGTATCAATGGGAAATTTTACGACGGGGTCGGTCCGTTGAATCCGTCCATAAACGACCAATCGAGAGGCCGCTGAAAGACGGAGGAGCGCCAGTCCGCGGAGTCAATCTTCACAGTATCTACTGACATGCTCTTTCGCCAATCCTCCACTGTCTCGAAGTTCACTTGGTCCGGCAAACCATAGCTAATCATCAACTTGGTGTCTGCCGCCAGAGGCTCATTCTTCTTCAAGTCCCCCTCTGCCCCAAAGATGTCTTCACGTCGGCCTAGCAACCAGGGGTGCACCGCTGAGACGTAGTCGTGAATGGTAAGGAACGCGCCACTGGCCTTGACGAGGAGCGTCTCACCCTTCTTCCGTGGCCGATTAGCGCGACAACACCTTAATAGATGCGGTTCCTCCACCTCGTCTGAGTCCGAATCGTAATCTTGAAGCTCTCCAAAGAGAAACTCATCGGGGTCCTCTCCATTCTCCTCAGGATCATGACAAAAGCGGTGCATTTCGAGCCACTGGAACTCCCAGTCTTCGAGAACGTCAATATGAACGATGACGGAGGAAGTTTTGGGTTCGGTGAGGGGCGATTGAGATACCGGATGCCAGGTGGTATTCGAGGCTGTCTGGTCACAATATGGCTCTGTCGCGATGTTGGGATCGTAATTGATGGCCTGCATGACCTCGATCGCGCGGTTCAATGGGCCGTCGAGCGCCCACTTTAGACGCTGGGCATCGAAACTGAGACCGATGGGCTGCTGCGCTTCGCGATAGACTTCGTAGGCCGGTGGTTTTGCGCTGTCCGTTGGTTCAGAGATATCTCTGGACATGTCGGAATGTTTAG